TTATATAATTATATTATATCCTTAGATTGTTCGATTAATGAAATATTGGCAACTTTGTAATGTTTCTGGAGAAAAATGTACAAATTACAATATGGCAGTAAAATAAGGTGGCTCCCTCGCATTAGTGCCTGCATTCGAAATCCCAAACAGCCGAAAATTCTTCCCAACGAACCGGAGGAACTTCTTTATCGGCATTTTAGTCGCTAAAGGAGAGTAGCGTGTGTGTCATCGACGAAAACTGTTGATAACAGTGATTCCTAGGGTATAGTTACGGGAACTGTAATCGATAAGGTAGTTTTCGTGAAGCAAGAGAAATATGGTTATTTTGATGACAAGATTTAAAAAATGTCGAAACACAAACATGATAGACATTGTTCAATATAAAATCATAATTAATTAGTAGAAATTTCCACTTTTTCCGGAAGTGGCCATGGTACTTCGACAGTAATTACCATCAGAATAGAAAATTTCAATCTAATTTTTTTTTAGAGTCAACCGGTCATTTCTAAAAATCAAATTCTTAGTTGCTTCATAACTATGTTATGTACGATTTAATAATTCGTTTTTCCTATAATAATCGTTTCACCCTAAGAAAGATGGCCACTTAAAGTCAAAACTTTTTTGAGAGTACATAAAATTTTTAGTAAATTGTAAAATTTCACAATTTAGATTAATGATTATTGAAAGAAACATTAGAAAATAATCAAACAAATAATGCACTTTATTGGGCAGAACTAATAAAAAATAATGTAACAAATTACAAAAATAATATTCTATAATTACGAATTGTAAAATTATTGTAGAAACAAATGGAGACCGAACAAGCATTGATTACTTCTGGACGCTAAGGGCGACTATTGGAATAATTGAGGTCCCATCGAACATACCTTTCAATCATACGTTTTCCCGAAAGGTATGTCTAGGTGATCTGAAACATTGTTTTTTTTTAGTGAAATTATGACTTGTCATCGAATGAATGGAATGGATATCCTTACATAAATACGTTGGAAACCGTGACACTCCTGGAGACACCACCGACAGATCACGAAAGCATTCATCTCCAAAGCTGTTTGGACGTAGAGCAATGTACAATTTTTGGAAGCAAACCAGTGTCCACATGGTGATGCAACATATTCAATTATTGAATGATTGCACAAATTACATATCGAGCCATTCAGGCTTCGTACTGGATTAACAAAGAATTTATAAATTAGAATTAACTCTGGAATTAAAAATAATGAGAAACGCCCGTTTGGAGAGGAGGATACTTCCATTCTAACATGAGGCAGACAATGAATATCGGATTATTATGAATTATCAAGATGTGAATAATTTCAAACGACTAGTAATTCTCAATTGTCAAATGAAATGAATTCTTCAAAAATGTAACTTCATTCGGTAATAGCGTTTTGTAATATTTCTCTGTGATTCTATATTTGTTGTAAAGATTACTATATTTCGTTTAAAGGATCATGATAATTAAAAAATAAGTAAAATTCGTCGATTTTTAATTCCTTACACAACAAAATTTCTACAATTTCATTTGCAGTAGGAAGATTTTGGATGGGGATTTCTTCAATTGGGTGATCGACCGTCATTGCTCGAATTTCAGCTCCAGTGGGTGGAATCCCTACAAGAAAGAAATATCTTGAATTATAAAAGAGGGGATATCAGATGTATCAGTAAACAGGTGCCACAAAGAGATGAGACTCAAGACTTTTTTATTAATATCTTGGATTTTAGAGTCATTGATGGATTAAAAAATAAAAATGAGCAGTTCTATTGTGAGAACACCTTGATTTTATGATATCAAAATGATGGACAATTATTTCCCTAGAATTGTTGATTGTTGTTGTCCCTAGAACAGTGCGAGTACTAACCGACATTATGCTCCCGTATCGTAACAAAATAGTCGACCTGCTGAGCGTCACGGATCAATAATTTATTATTGAACGCCTGAAGGAAATGATTAGCACATCCTAGAAATGCTGAAATATCTAGGAGTCCTTCCCCGTATAACTGCCAAGCCCTTTGCAATATTTCCTCATAATTGATGTACTTTGTGGCTTGTGGTCGTCTCACC